ATAACTAAATTATAAAATAGTCTATTTCAACATTTTATCAAATTAATAAATTAATAATAAAGAATATACATACATTCATTATTTTCAAATATGTAACTCTTTTACAATCTAATTATCGAGAGGTTTGCCAAAATTATTTTTTATTGTTTAAAATTAATATTAATAAAAAAATTATTATTTTTCTTGTTAATGAGCATATTAAACGTAATTTTAAATTATCACACATTATAGTTTTGATGAAAAAAATGTTTTTTTTTTGTTTTTTTTATAATGAACAATTTAATTAATTTAAAAAATGTATATACATAAAGGGAAATTTGATTAATCAAATAATTTTAAAGAAATTTAGAAATAAAAAAAGATTTTTGGCAATGCATTTTATGTTATTTTAAGCACATCTAATTAAGATAATTTGTTCTGAGATAGTGTTATAAAATTGAAAGTATGCACCTAATTATGAAATATGTATATTGTTTATCATCTGATATTGTTTGTGCTAAGATGATATTTTTAAATTGGTAGTATACACCTTATTCATTGTTATTCATTGCGGATAATACGGCATGTACATTGCTTATTATCTAAGATTGCTTGTTGTGAGATACAGTTGTAAAATTGGAAATATGCACCTAATTCATTGCGGATAATACGGCATGTGCATTGCTTATCATCTAAGATTGTTTGTCCTGAGATAGTGTTGTAAAGTTGGAAGTATGCATCTCATTCACGACAGATAATACAACATGTATGTGGTTCATCATCTAAGATAATTTGTCCTAAGATAATGTTTTAAAATTGGAAGTATGTGCCTTATTCATTGCGGATAATACGGCATGTATGTTGCTTATCATATAAGATTGTTTAACATGAGATACTGTTGTAAAATTGGAAGTATGCACCTAATTCATTGCAAATAATACGGCATGTGCATTGCTTATAATCTAAGATTGTTTGTTTTGAGACACCGTTGTAAAATTGGAAGTATGCACCTTATTCATTGCGAATAATACGGCATGTGCGTTGCTTATTATCTAAGATTGTTTGTCCTGAGATAGTATTGTAAAATTGGAAGTACACACCTTATTCGTTGCAGATAATACGACATGTATGTTGTTCATCATCTAAGATAATTTGTCCTGAGATAGTGTTGTATAATCGAAAGTATGCACCTAATTCATTGCGGATTATGCGGCATGTACATTGTTTATCATCTAAGATTATTTGTCTTGAGATAATATTTTAAAATTGGAAATATACACTTTATTCATTGTGGATAATATGGCATGTATGCTCTTTATCATCTAAGATAGTATCGTAAAATTAAAAACATGCATTGTATTCATTGCAGATAATACAACATGTATGTTATTCATATTTGGTCATATTATATATAATTTATAAATGTCTAAATAGTTAAAAATAACATTTATTGATAATAAATGTAAATAAGTATAAATATTTATTTTCCATAATTTTATATTTGACAACAATGGTTTTTATTAAAAAAATATTAGTATTTTTATGTTTTCAAATATGTGATTTAAAATATATAATATCAATAATATAAAGAGAAATTATATATATATATATATGTATGTATGTATGTATGTATGTATGTATGTATGTATGTATGTATGTATGTATGTATGTATGTATGTATGAAGAGGGATCCGTTTATTCTATAAGTAAGTTTATTACTTTGTTTCATTAATTCAAATTGACATATAATCGTAGAAGAGAGATCTGTTTACTCCGGAAAGTAAGTATACTTAAACTTATTTTGTTCAATAACTTATATTCTATATCAAATCTTAACGATCTAACAGTTGAATTTAAAATTTTTAATGCACAAATCAAATTTGTAAATTTTTAAAAAATTTAAAAATTATTTTATATTTTGTTTAATTTAAATTGATAATGTTACTACATTTAAAATAAAAAAACAAGTTGCATATATCTTCTTTATTAAATTTCTTTAGTTAATTGTTGTTATAGACGGAAACTTTTTCAATAAGCACTTGATGTTACTATAGAGATATATTCTTTTTTAAATATTTTTTTTTTACTTTTTAAAAAAATCTATAAGTTAAACACACAAATTTTTTTTTCAATTTTGTTATTATAAATGCCTTGGTGAGAGTACACATTCGACGAAGAAAAAAGTTACTGAAGCATTGTAATGAACCAAACCCGTTTTTGTTTCTTTTAATTGCGTTATCACCTCCTTCTTCACTTCTTTTTTTCTCTCTGGCTCGGAACTAAAATCTCAATCTATATATTCAAAAGAAACTCAAGGTATATCTTCTTCTCTTTTACTCTTGCTGCATGTGTTTTCTTAATTCAATCCAATTTCATAGTTCATATATACATCATATTCGTGTTTCTGTATAATATACATATATGGAGAGAGAGAGAGTAAACCACACACTTATTTTATGAGAGATATGAATATTATACTGTTTCTGTCTCTTAATTTAAAAATTACAGTCTGCTCATTGAAAATTTTTAATAAATGATACCTTATCAATTTTTTAAATTTTTCATTAAAGTTTTTTAAATTTTTATGAAAAAAATAATTATTATTAAAATATTATTTACACTAATATCTCTTCATAAATCTAAATATTGCATTGTCCCCTCTTTCTGTGTTATGATAAAAAAGATATTCTTAATAAATATAAATGTTACGCTTTTAACAATTTATCTCATTGTGCCCAAAAAAAATAATTTTTCTGTTAATTTTCATATTTAATAATTATATTAAAAATTATTATGAATTTTATAAAATTAATTATATATTTAAAAAATA